TTTCCACACCATCCAAAAGGTAATAAGAGGAATGAGACTCACACTATTCTTCCCTCTAATAAGAACCCTCAAGGCCTAAATTTCTTTCCTAACTGACCCAACCATCACCCAACTAAGCCCTAGTATCCCATACGCCATGGTCCATAACTTACATGTAAGTCGACACCAAAGAAAGATGTGATTTCAAGACTTCGCCTACCTCTTGCATAGAAAACAACCATTCACCAAAATAATCAGCTTGTCAATAGTAAGGATACACTCACGACCTGCTTCCCACACAAAGAAAGCAACTTCAAGTGGAGCATTAACCTTCCAGATTTGCTGAAAAGGAAAATTTGTCACCGTTGTATTGTTCTTAATTAAACATCTATAGAAAGACTTGATCGAGAAAGATCCTCTAGTATTGAGTCTTCAAATTGGTTGGCCATTACTTCCATTAATTGCTGCTGAGGAAAGTGTATCTACAAGAGCCTCATAATCATTAATTTTCCAAATCATTGAGATTCCTTATAACTTCCACATACCACTCCTTTCACCCCTCCCCCAACCTCGATATCTTTGAAAGACTAAAAAATTGTGATTTCTTTGTTCCTGCCATAACATAGATCTGAAAAAACTGATCTCTAAGCGAGCTCTCCCTAATCCAAATGTCATGCCAAAAACTAATTACCAACTCTCCACTTGACATATTTCTAAAATTTATTCCTACCCCTGCATATCTTTTTCCATATCCCCGTCACATGTATACCGAACTTCGCTGCAATCACCCTCCTCCATAAGATACCATTTTTTTCATGAATCTCTATAGTCACTTCTTTGCAGAGTCAGATTCATCTCCACTAAAGATCTCAACCCCAAACCTCCTCGAGATATTGGCTTTTTTATCTCATCTCATGTCATCAGGTGATATCTCTTCCTATCCTCGGAGTCGCCAAAGGAATCTATACTGAATTAATTCCAGTCTTTTGACAACACTCACCGGGATTGTTAAAAAGGACATTTAACAAAATGGGTTGGTTGATCAACGTGCTTTTAGTAAGAGTGAGTCTTCCCCCTTTTGGGTTGTAAATGAGATGTAAATGGGTGGTACTCCCTTGGTACCAATGAATTTACAATACTTTTATTTGAAAAAAAAGGCTTCCCCCTTTTGACAAGAGGGTTCCTTTCCAA